CGAAAGGCCTCCCTCACTCTAGCACAGAAACACCACCAAGTATCTGTTTTCAATCTTTCTGAACAAAATACTCTGTTTTATAAGTCAACAAGGGCCAGAGGAAGACAAAACATCCCCGTAATGGAGCTCCGCTGGAGGTGAGTCACACACAGCCGCTGCGCTACAGTAAAGACCGGCCTTTTGATTGCTCTCATGAAAGAAATACCACAGTGCTGTGTCAAACACATGCTGCAGCCCTGGAGATGAAGAGAGACGACTGGGAGAGGTTCATCTCTGAACATTTGTCCCTTTTGGTCCCCACACCTTCACTTAAAACTCCCCATTACTCTGGGCCTTCCCTGCACACAGAATCGCTGTGGACCGGTCTACACGTGGCGGCCAGTCAGGAGGATCAGAGGGAACCCAGAACAAAACCCCGTTGTGCATCTGTCAGGCAGTCCCCACCGTCCTGCCCTCCCTGCCATTATCCGACCACATAAGAATCGGAGGTGGAGCCCTGCTTTAACAGAGGAACAGTACAAGTGGGGCTGCCTCAAGCTTTAAAGGACCCCCCTCCCCCTACAACCCCCCAAAAGGGACAGATGACGAACAAGAAAGAAATGGGACTGAGGGTGTCACCGGGTGGCAATGAAGCATTCAGTCCCTGTGGAGCACTGGCCAGAGATCAGACCGGACGATCCCCAAGAGCTTTGATCTCCATCTTTTATGTTCCCAAAGTGTCACACCTGCACAGCCATGTCTTTTCTTGATTCTTTGTCATTAAAGATGACCTTAGACATCAGGAGACGCCATTGAAGCCGCAGCAGCGCAAACAATGGAAAATAGCTCATCTCTTCAAACTGTGTGTTTACTGAACTCTCTCACTTTTATTACTATAAGGCAACAAACATTCAGCTCCAAATACCCTTTAGATTACAGAGCTGCCATTAGAAGTAGCCTAATTAATAACTAAAAAGGTGCAATACAACCTCAGTGTAAATATTGTGGTCTGTGAAGGCTGTGGAGAGGTTAGTGAACAAACAGCATCAGGATGAGTAAGCAGCACACCTGAGGGTTAAAAACAAAACCCAGACTGCATCTGTAAATATTGGTCATCCTTAGGGAAGTCAGGATCGGTCTGAAAAGTAAAACTGGGCCGATATCAGCAGCAGATTCATTTCCATATAGTTGCTGATTTGGTTTCAGGCGATGGGACTGATGTGGTTTTTCTTTGGTCATGTGACTGTGATGGAACTTATTTTGAGAGTTTGAACTGAATCAGAAAAACAGTTTCAGCACTGTGGTTTGTCTTACTGGGTATCAAAAGGTAAGAAAATATGTAAGAAATTGGGAAATATTGATCAATAGCCATAACTGTAATATTAATACTAATGGATACGGGTGCATCCATAGTTTTAGCAGATCACATTTCTGAATAACTGCTAGTATTGATGCAGAGATGCATCTAAAAGTTATTCTCAAGTATCAGAGTATAAGCACCACTGCACTAAAGGCTTATTCTCCATGTAGAAACTTGGTAATAGCAATATCATCCTTTGATTTAGCAAGAACAAGGAAGCTGGTCACAGAAAAATTTACGACTAAACCCTTGTTTATAGTCGACAGTTTGGAATTATAAGCATTCTACACATCTTTTGATTTGGCCCATAAATATCACCACAATAAACAGATTAACCAAATCTTGGACATAAATGACCTACTACTACTACTACTACTAGGTGTAGTGTGGTGTTGTTAGCTTGCAGATTGCGCCCCACACTCCCCCGCTACAGTTAGCCAGAATATTAGGTACATGTGGGAAAGCAGCATGGAGTATAAAGGCTGATTTATACTCAGAAACCAGGTCGCCTGCGTGTGTGTCACAGTGAATGCAGACACTCTGCTGCACCTCTCCAAAATTGTAGCTGGCCGCAGACAGGAGGCCTCTGATTGGTCAAATCTACATCCGCTCTATACTATCCGTATTTCCTGTTTGGTATCTTACCAGCTTGTTTTGTTTGTATGACCGCCATTGTGGAAAACGACTTGTGAAGTTTGACCAGCTAGAAGCAAGAACGCTGGGGCCCTTTTTCACCTGCATCCCCGCTCTTTTCATCCTCATGTCCCTGCGTTGTCGCACAAACTTGCCCCCTCGTCCTTGCGGCCTCTGGCATATCTAGACCCACTGCTAGTTGGTGATTGTTCCTCTTGCGTTGTGGCGTGGAATAACACAGCGCAGACCTTGCTTCAATATTGGGCATAAATCAAAAATATCAGCGACAAGTTCACTGTAGCACACTGCTGCAGGAGGATAACCATCTCTTAATGCTACGTTTACACCTCAAGCAGCAGAAGTTGCTAGTTTACATGCAAAGTCAATGGTTGCAGCTGAAGCAGCGCATTATGAGCTTCTGAGCATCTGACGCGCTTCAGAAGCAGCAGCTACTGGAGTTGGATAAATTTAACTTTGTTGCTCGAAGCGCCACATTAACCAATCAGAGAAGCTGATCTGGGAGCTGGCAGTGAGACAGACACAGCACTGCTGATGCAGATCACTATCACTCCTCTGAAACAGTTTATTAACGCCTAAATTAACTTAAAATGTTGAAACCTGTCGCCAAAATATGTTCGATTTTATTATTCTGGTGCCTGCAGTTTGGATTACGCACTTGAAAAATGATAACATCTACTTCCAGCCGCCGCGAACAGTAGTGGAAACAGTAGTTGATTCCTAGTGACAGCGCACTGTCGGTGTACGGGGGTCTGACCGGCTCCGACTTTCTCACTTAAGACACACTAAAACTACTTTTTACGCACTGATCACAGCATATATAGCTGCAATTGTTAAAGGTAAAGAAAGGATCACAATTAAACTTCAAAAATGATGCAGCACACGCGTTTTTGCTGCTTGCGTGAACGTAGCATAAAAGCTGCCGACCACAGCTGGAACGGCTCAGTCAAAGTGCAGACCTACATCCAACTGAAAAACCATGGAAAGAGTTCAAAGCAACCGTAGATAAATGCTCTTTATTCAATCTGACTAAGCATCATAGCCAACATGGACGTTCTACAAAAGAGCCGCAGCTAAAGGTGGTTCTAGTCCTGAGTCCAATTGCGAACTAAAACCTTCAGCTTTTTATTTAAAGAAATACAGAAAAACCAATTTCATTTACTAACAATTGTACACTACCTCGGGTTAGTCTATCAGATCAAATTTACCACGATAACTGAAGTTTCTGGTTGCAGAGTGACAAAATGTTAAAAAGTTCAAGAGGTTATAATTTTGCAAAGTGTTTTCTTAGTATGGGGGGAGGTTAAAAGACACAAAGAGCTTTGAAAAGAGAACAAATCCTCTGAAGTGATACTTTGGCAAATGAAACAGGTCCTCCAGCAGCAAATTACAGAAGCTTCTCTGATCTTCATACCTGCATGGCTAGGCAGATACATTATCAGCGCTCTGACATTCCACTGATTCTACACAGGACCTTAACATCTTTTCATCTACCCAATCCTCCCTTCGAAGAAACCAGACCAGCTCAAAGAGGGGCCCACAGGTATTTCACCTGCGCATATTAGGGGGGGGGAAGCTGGGAATCATTGCAGCCAAAAATCTAAAACTATTTGATAAAGAGTCAAAATTATTTGTTTTCATACAAAATAATCAGGAAAATTTAGATAAGATGAACTTTTTAATTCAATTAATTTTAGTTTATGATTCAGATCAGTTAAAATGATTTTCCTCTAGGGAAACCTAGCAGATTGCATCCAGTTATTAACTTCCAGCGTTCACTTCCACTGGCTGTGAAAGTGGAAAAGAAACATTAAGAAACTTTCTTGCAAGAGGAAAGGTAAAGTTAGTAGAAGCTCCTTTCATATATATAAAGATAAAATGTTCTCATTTTGCTTGATGAAAAAAAAATACAATGAAATAGCTGCAAAATAACAATAAAGGCCTGTCCTGTTACCCTAAGACGTACACTTGATTCATCTACAGTCTGAGGTCAATTTCCTGTTTACAGAAAACTAACCTGCTGCTAACCATTAAATGGGAGCAGATGTGGGGTCGGGTGACAAAGCATGTCACAGTAAAACTGGATTACAATAAAATCGTTCAGCATTTTATATTAACAGTTTTGATGTTTTCAGACAGCTATTAGCTTTCCCCAAACCACCTACATCCTTACCATAATGCTGAGCTTTCCAAAAGGTTGCAACCATTCCCAAAGTCAGACTAAGGCTTAGCCGTCTCCCATTAAGCCTTCCTGTTACCTGCTGAAAGTCTCGCTCTCTCTTAACCTCAACCGACTGAGGACATTTGAATAAATCGGCCTGCGTCTGAAATCTCAGATTTTAGAAAGCTCGTAAAAAAAATACCTACTATCAACTTTTGTTTTTAAGTGTCTGTAACTCTTTGGTGAATAATGAATGGGTAGGTGGTTCTTATATCTATCCATTGAACAAGCGTTTTCCATCATTCCACACTGTGAAGAAAATAATAAATAAACATGTATGAAGAATGCTGATATTGTATCGGGTCCATGTCTGTATCGTATCAGAAATGAAAAGGCTGTATTGGGACACGTCTAATATCTAGAAAGGTAAAGCAGGTCAAATCAATGACCTCATTTCTCTAAATGTTCCTGTAAGGTCAAATATTGGTGGAAAATTTCTTCCTAGATTTATTACAATGGTTCTTGGATTATAGGTTAATGAAGAAGTATAAACCGTCACGCTGTCAGCAAATAAAAGGACACTAATGACACAGAATCCATTAAAAGTCTGCGTACCGTCGACACAGTAAGTGGAATTATCTGCGGCTAAACTACTGACTGCTCTAAATCTCTGCCTGTGGTGGTGATGGGCTGTTGGTCAACTGACTGGCTTAAAGATCCCCATAATAACCAATAATCCAGACCAAAGATTAGAGACCCAACATGCTGCTGTTAATCCACGCAGATTTTCCTTGTTTTGTCTCAATTTAGCTCCAACAATGGGAAACTCAGAAAGGCAGGGTTACTTACTCGGACAGCGGTGCTCTTTGCCTGAGCGCGCTGAGGCTGCACTCCTGGAGTCACCTGGTCCCTGGTCCCGCTTCCGTGTGCTCGGGCCACGGCTCCCGACGTGCCGTTTGTGCAGACGCCACCGCCGGAGGCAGCCATCTGAGGTCTCTGCTTGATGCCATCCAAAAGACGCACCAACAGGATGTTGCTGGGGAGTTCGTCCACAGCGCACTCCACCAACGTCCGGCACTCCGGGCAGCGCAGCTCGCCGCGCGAGCCCAGGATGCCCTGGAGACATCGACGGCAGAAAGTGTGCTGGCAGGGAAGGACCTTGGCGGAGGCGTCCAGCCGCTCCAGACATACGGGGCACTCAAGCAAATCCAGTAAAATGGACTCATCCATACTCTGTGTTGAGCCTCCACTTCAGAAGAGCATAATGCTGATAAGGTCTTTGTTCAGAAGCGGATCAGGGGGTTTTCACGTCACTGCCATACCTCGGCTATTGCCATGGCATTTGCATCAGCTGTGGAGAAAAAAAGGTCACAGGATGCAAATTAAATCGACTGCGTAACGAGAAATAGGTCATAGCATCTATATAAGACAGGACATATGGCTGGAGTCATGTGTCATGTCATCAGCTAAGAAGTGGAACACTGTAAACAAACAAAAGGAAAACAACAAAACATATAGAAGAGTTTTCAGTCTGTGTGCAACTACCACAAACTTATACATTACTGCCTTGTTCTCCTGTCCTCACGCTAATGCAATTCTTAGTGTTTATAAGACATATGGCCTCATAACTGATGTCTGGAACCTTTGTAAAGGTTAAAATACAGTTTTAAGTAAAGATGAATTGAGTTACATTGATTTTTAAAACAATGGATACAAAGTTGAAAAAAGATGGATAAGTGAGACTAATGTAAAGATTAACAGATAAGGCCAGACTGGAGGGATTTATAGAGGAATGGATGTAATGATGGATGAAAAGAAGAATGCATGAGCTGATGGATGAACAAAAGCATTAAAGCAACGGGACACAGAATAAAAGCTATAAATACTTTTCTGAACTTAACCAAACCCTTTAAGGGAAAGTTACTGTTTTTAATCGCTTGCATACCCATTAGAAATGAGTCCCCCCGTCCCTCAGTGAGATCTAGAAGCACAAGATCTATATCCAGCCATTCAACAAAGATACTGCTATATGGATGTACATCTTATTTTGACATTTGACTGATTAGATGAGCCCTTGAATGATTTATTACCTACTGTAAATTAAGTAAAAAAAGGTAAAAAGCTAAATGAAAAGTAAAAAGTAAAGTTAAAAAAAGTTAATAAGCCTAGTTAACAATTATATTTAGGTTTATACATTAAAAAATCTAAGCGCCAGTATCTATATTTATGTTGTACCTAAAAAAAGAAGCACTTTTGTTATTTTTCTTAATATATTCGGGCAATATGGCGTTTCAAGTTGCATTTTTGCCATCAAAATATTATTTTTCCAAACGTTGCAGAGTTAATAAGGTCTTATCCTGGATTCCAATAACACTATTGGCTTAAACTGTCAATGGGTGCTCTATAAAAAAAACTAAAATCACCAAAGATCAGAGTCAGATTTTTCCTGATTTCATAGAAAGCCTTGTAGAAACTATAAAGGAGTAAAATATTTCAGTTTTAATGGGAGCGGAGGAGTAAAATGCTGTGATTTATGTTTTAGGAGGACAAACATCAGACCATCAAAAATGCGATCAACAGAGAGAGCAAACAACCCGCTTCATTTCAGCCACAATGATTAACCTCCCCAGTCTGCTGCAGGAATATTTATGGAATAACCGAGAAAAACAACAATATTACGCAACATTTTTAGTTTTTACAACCTCCTGAGCTCAAGCTGTCAACTTCTCTGACACACACAGGAGTCAAGTAGGAAAATTAAAGGGGGGGAACTGGTTTTAAACAGTTATGAAGGAAATATTTGCCTCGTTTTAAATAAATTACACTTTCAGGAGTTTTTCTAATAATTCGCATTTTGACATAATAGCCTCTAAAAGTTAAAGAATCGATGTAAAATGACAGGAAACACTTTAAAACACGGCTCACCTCTCCTGGAACTGGATCCTGCTCGCTTCTTTTCCCACTTTCTGCCTTCTTGCTAACGCGAAGTTAGCAGCCGAGCCCCGAATATTTTACCCACTTTAGGGGAGAGAGTTACCCTGAGAAAACCCGCCGGCTCACCGGTACAGCTTTCATTCAGAAGGCCTTATGGTAGAAGGAAGAAATAAACCTCTGTCAGATACGAAAGGAAAACAAAGCGAGAGAGAAACACGAAGAAGACGAGAGAAGTCGAGCCGCCGCGCAGAGCGCCATGCTAGGACCTCTGCTGCTGCCGCTGCTGCTGCTACGCTGGACTGTTGCTGCTCCTGGACTGGGAGGAGGGAGCGACTATGAGAGCTTCAAGGACGCCTCGGAGGTTAGACAACTCAATGAACACACGTTAAAACTACTATCTAGACCAGGGGTTTAAACTTTTCAGCTTCTGACCCATATACAAGATTTTCAGCAAAATTTAATAAAGGTGATTGATCGTTGCACTGTACTTGTGGTAGTGTAATCACTATTAAAGCTGATTAAAGCTGAATTTATTGTATATGGGGAGTGGCAGCCTAGTAGTTAGGGCGTTAAGCTTGGAATCCAGAGGTTCTGAGTTCAAGCCCCACTCCCATGGACTGACACTCTGGGTCCCTGAGCAAGACCTTTAACCCTGATCACTGTGCCCCAGGCGCCAGACAATGGCAGCCCACTGCTCCCCAGGGGGATGGGTTAAATGCAGAGTTCATTTTGTTGCACTGCACTTGTGCGAGTGTAATGACAATAAAAGTAGAAAAAAAAAATACATATATATATTTGAATCAGCCTCAGCAATGCAACTACTTCACACACCCCCCATTTCAACATTAGTGTTTATTTAGTTAAGACCCAATACTAGCTGATCAAGCACCAATGAATATACCCCAACTTTGGGAATCAGTGATCTAGACCTCCTTTTTCAGTTGCCAAGTCTGGCACTTCAAACCATTCATTTTTTAATTTGAGATTTAGATTATTAACACCTCATGTTATGCTACTCCCCCGATCTGCTCCCCATCTGCACCTACTCCATTGAACATGTATCTTGCACAGTGAGCTGCTCCTGTCTGCATTCTACTTCTTGCATTAAAACTCCTCTAATCGTGGCTAAAACCTTTGCTCATTGATCCCCTCAAGGCCTAGCTCTAAGAGTTACCTCTCTGGTATCAGATATAGCTATGAGAATCCAGATCAGGATGTAAGAAGGAAATCATGCTTGTATAAAATGCATTAAATTTGAGTCTACAAACTCTTTTCTCACAATAGATTTTTGGATTGTGGGAACAGTTTTTAGCCAGAGCTGTAGGCTTATCTACCCAAGAGTTAAAACAAAGAATCTTTGAAATGTTCAAGAGAAAGAATCCAACATAGGCTTTGGTTAAAACATGTAAATAATAGGGGGAAATAAAAGCAATAACAATATAGATGAAATTCTTCAGCATTAGGTGGAATTTATCACCGGAGAGACAGACATAAGCATGAAAGTAGAATTAAGATTGATTGATTGATTGATTGATTGATTGATTGATTGATTGATTGATTGATTGATTGATTGATTGATTCATTCATTCATTCATTCATTCATTCATTCATTCATTGACTTTATTGATCTCACAGTGGTGAAATTTACTCATCACAACAGCTCAAATAGTCAAAGAAGAAAAATGTGCCAAAGGAAAAAAAAAGGTGCATGGGATATATATGTACAGTGCTTCCACATATGACAGCTTTTTCTTTTTTTTTATGGTAGGATCAATATTGCACATATAGGTAGATATTTAAATTTATATATATAGTTATTGCACTGGATGTCAAACATAGTGAAAAAGGTTATTGCACAGGGTATCAAATAGTAAATTGCACATTATACATTGCATAAATTACTGCTGTTGTTGTGTCGCATTGTATTGTAACCCATTGCATAGTGGTTAGAAGTGGGTTGGATTAGTTACAGTAGTATGAGTTCAGTCTTTGCAACATCAAACTACTCAGATGCTTCATAATCTGTGTCCAATCTAAATAAATTTACTTGGCATTGTGTTAAATTCAAAGTTTTAAAATTTAAGAGAACAGTTTTTCTTCTGCAAAAACAAACCAATGTCACTGTTAAAGAATTAGCCCAAATATGAAATAATGCTAAAAAAATAAATAAATAAAAAAAGTATTAAAGAAAAGAAAAATAACTTGACTTAGAAATACCAACATAATCCATGAGAAAAGTTGGAGCGTAGTTAGAATTTCCGGGGTGTACCTGAAGGAGGCATATAGTGGTGTAAAAAAAAAAAAAAAAAAAAAAAAAAAAGGGCCTGAGCTACAGCGACGTCCGCCTCCAGACACAATGGAAAATTTCTTTTTTATCCTTTATTTGTCTCTAGATGTTTACATCAATTCATATTTTACGACAGGATGCAGTCATTTGAACTTACTCCCGCTCTGTCTATGAGTTTGATATTGTTGTTTATTTTTCTATTAAATGTTGTTATTAATCATACATTTAACCCAATATTCATTACTTGAATCTCTGAAGGTCTGAGCTCGCCTTCAAAATAAATTATATTTAATGAAAGCATGATTCCATGTCATATTTTATCTCTGTTAAAACGATATAATAAGTGATATGTTAAATCATCTTAGCAGTAAACAAATGATTATGTCCTTTTATTCTGTTGTGTGTTTGTTTATAAGGCATCTACAATGTCTCTGAGGTGTGGGTTTCACTGTTCTACAATGCTATCTATGTGTAGATATTTTTACTCTGCTGCTAAAACATATTTTGTTATATACATTACTGGAATAAAGGATCAGATTAAGCTTGTCCAAACACACAGTTCTGGCCTCAATCATAAAGTTTCCTGCTACATCTTCATCAAAAGCTGTTTTGTTTGTTCTGTTTTGATACAATTCCAATGATTTCCAGTCAGGCTGAATATATATTGTAATATTATTTCATTCTGCATGTGATTTCTTGCAAATAGAGACAACAAAATTAAATCCAACAGGTTTTGGTAAATCATTTGTGCAGATCCCATTACATTTGATTTAAATCTACCTCAAGTGCAGCTCTTTTCTCTTACTGCTGGATATTATGCATCAATTCATGTCTAATTCTGAGAACATTCCCATCATGGGACCTAAGAGTCTGACCTAATGTATTAATGATGTAAAAAATGATTCACTTTTCACACATTTGCTCTTTTTTTACATTTCTGCTTTTCTTTGTTTAATTTAAATGTTTTAGATAATCCAAATCATTTGTTGTTAAACTAAGAGAACTATAATAAATACAAAATTCAGTTTTCAAAGTATGAAATTATCCATTAAACAAATAAACTAATTCACTCCTAAACTGTTAGCTATTTTCGATTAATGTTAGTATTTGCTCAGTTGTTGGCGAGTTTTGCCCCTCTCCTCTTTGCAGAAATTGACGGTTTAAGGTCAAAGCATCTCTACTGTATACATTTTACATTACTGTAAAAGCCCAGACTTTGACTAGGCCATTCCAAAACCTTCCTATTAAAATTGTGTTTAGTTTGTTTTGTTTTTTTTGGGGGGGGGGGGTTTATTTGGCACAGAGCTTCAAAGTGCGGTTGAGCTTAAAGGAATAGTACACCCAAAACATGATTAGCCTTCATTTTCTACTCACCCCCATGCTGAACAACACTCTGGAGTAATTTTTTGATATCTCAAATGCATCTGGAGATCTGGGAGGCTTCTTGCTGTCTGCTGACATTCAAATAATGGAGGTCTATGGCGCCCGAGACAGAAAGGTCCATAAAAGTCCACAGAAAACGTGTCAATATTCCTCCATACTGGTCGTCCAATGTATTCCAAGTGTCCTGAGTGGGTAGCATCCAGAATTTACTCGAAACGAAGTCATTTAGAATGTTTTAGAGCATAAACAGTAGTGTATAGGATTTCCTGAAAGCGCGCACCTGCGCGTTCACGGCGCTATGGAAGCCGGCAGACCAAACCAGATGAAAGTGCGCATTCAGCGTCTGCTCTGCCGATAATGCAAGCGTAGAAGAAGAAATGTGCCGTTTACCTGTGCAAAGAAAGAAACAACGAAAGAAAAATGTCTGAGGACTTCAGTGTTGAGGAAGAGCATGAGTTCTTTGCCGAGCTGAATGCGCACTTTCGTCTGGGTTGGTGTGCCGCGGTTTCCGTAGCGCCGTGAACGCGCAGGTGCGCGCTTTCAGGAAATCCTATACACTACTGTTTATGCTCTAAAAACTTTCTAAATGACTTCGTTTCGAGTAAATTCTGGATGCTACCCACTCAGGATCCTTGGAATACATTGGACGAGCAGTATGGAGGAATATTGACACATTTTTTGTGGACTTTTATGGACCTTTCTGCCTCGGGCGCCATAGACCTCCATTATTTGAATGTCAGCAGACAGCAAGAAGCCTCCCAGATCTCCAGATGCATTTGAGATATCAAAAAAGTACTCCAGAGTGTTGTTCACCATGGGGGTGAGTAGAAAATGAAGGCTAATCATGTTTTGGGTGTACTATTCCTTTAATATCAGCTCTGCTGCTGCCATCAACACCTTTGTTTATAGATGTTTGAAATTGTCCTTTTTTTTCTCGGTGTAGTCCTGTTTCTCTGACTGGCTGGCTGGATGTGCTCTCTTAATCCTCTGACATGGGAGCTGGCTCAGAGCTCGTCTGCCTGGCTGTGTGTTTCCTGGACCGAGCCGCCTTTTACAGCTGCTTTTTCTATCTCTGCTTCTGTCTCCTTGAACCCCAGTCAGCCTCAGCAGATGGCCGCTCACACTGAGCCTGGTTCTGCTGTAGGTTTCTTCCTGTTAAAAGGTAGTTTTCCCTCTCCACTGTCGCTACAAGCACGCTTAGTGTGAGGGATTGCCTGCGAGTCAATGAGTTGATGCAATCAACTTTGATTTAATTTGACTGCATGATCTGTTGAACTGTAAAGGGCCTTGAGATGACATGTGTTGTGAACTGGCGCTATAGAAATAAACTGAATTGAATTGGTAGAATCTTCTTACACTTTTTTTTTTAAATCAAAAACAAGCAAATGTTTTTTCTTAATAGTGATGTTTTCTTTATGTTCACCCTTCTGTTACTTAATACTAACATAATTAACCATTAAGGGACAGAGGGAATGATTTTGTTGGTAGATAATAGCTTAGATGTGACAAACATTTCTTTACCTTCTGCACATTATTCTGCAAATACTTTCTCCTTTTTTTGAGTGCCAATGCTATAAGATACAGTCCCTTATCACTTCTAGAGGCTCACACAAAAATAGACCATTAGGAAGAGACAGATA